AAGAGGAATTTATGGACTAGTATCAGACATATGGTCTAATATTGGGCTTAGGGATTTGATCTGGACTGGGCCAGATGTTTTCTCAATATACAATTACTCTTGGATATAAAGCTCTCTCTTACACACATATGAGTGTCTCTGGATTTGTTTCTCTAGTCAACCCGGTCTAACACCATGTGCACAAACCCACCCATGCATACAAAATGACAACAATGTGCACATCCCTCCCCCCCATACATACTATTATTATACATGAGGATACATGTTCATGTTTCTACCCATACATACACTCCTAGACACCTCCACCCAGGCCAACACCTATGCCTGTGTATGCATGCACACAAACACATCCCCACATCCCCACCCGTGCATACATCATGATACATTTACACACCCTCATGCTGTACATGTGCACATATGTAATGCCACCATAAATGTGTCAAGTTCACATTTCTACCTAGGCGTAACTCATACATGTGCACACAGACACATCTATACATACAGCCATCGTGCACACACACCCAATCAGGTACACATCTGTGCACACCCCATATGCACCAGCCCCACCATTCCTACAGGGCTATACATGCTCACATGGAGGCCCTGTTAGCGCAGGGCCCAGCTCCAAAGCAGGCTAAGACCCAGGGGCAGAAGGGCAAGTAAAGCCCCTGCTTGAGGTTCCCAAGGGGATGTCATTTCCCAGAAAAGGCTAAGGGCTCGAAGGAGAAGCAGGCTCATCCTCCGGCAGTTGGACCACTTTACCCAACCGCTCACAGAAAGCCAGAGCCCCAGGCAGGATTTACAGTTTGGCATTTTCTCTGTATTTCATTAGGAAACAGAAGTCAGATGCATGTTCCTTATAAGACCGTGCCTGGGTTAGGAAATCCCAGCATGAGCTTTTTATGTCCAAGAAATGTAATTGGCATTGAGTCTAATCAAATCTGGGGTCAGCTCAGTGCTTGACAGACAGGACTGGGCCCCCAGAAGGTAGCCCTCTGTGTGACAGCTAAATTGATGTGGCCAGGGTGGACAGTGCTTGGACTATAACTAGATCAACTTTCTAAATCCTTATATATTAGATTGTTACATGAGTGCCTACATGATAGCGTCATCCCCGCCCCACCCCACCCCTTGGACTACCAAGTCTAAACTAGTTGCTATCTGGCCCTTGACAGGAAAAGTTTGCCAACACCTGTTTTAAACAGCTACTGAGCCTACCTGAGATTGCAGGTCAAATCGAACCTCCCATTGTGGTCAGCTGAGGCAACCCGACCCCTGAACCCCGATTCCACCACTAGCTGGTGGTCATGAAGAGATAGCACAGTGAGTCTGCTGTAGGCTACTTCTCTCTGCGTGTTCCTCGGGAAGGTCCTCTGGCATCCTGGCCACCCTCAAGGCTCCTCCAGAAGGCTTTCTTGTTCACTCCTGTCCTCCCTAAACCTCCCTCTACTCCCATCCAGGGTTACGTGTCAGAAGACTCACAGGGACAGTTCTACACAATCCTATAGCATTGCCATGAGTCTGCCGAGACTTGATGGCAGTGATTTTTTTTCTTAGCATCCATAACCCTTGATTTTGGAACTCCCTGATGAGGTAGTGGGGTACACATTGGGCCACTAACGATAAGGGCAGCAGTTCAAAACCACCTGCCCAGCCGTTCCAAGAAAGAATAGTGAGCTGTTTGTTCTCATTAAAAAACCACAGTCTTGTAGAAATCCAAAGGGGCAGTTCCACTCTGTCCTATAGGGTGGCTGTGAGCTGGAATTGACTCTTAGGTGGAGAGTGTTGTTGGGCGTGCAAGGTATTTGATTGCTGCGTTATATGGTTCACCCTTGCTTCACACACATCAGTTCTCCCACTGAGGCATATGCAAAGGAAGGCAAGACCCCCCCCCCCCCAACCATGGCGTTTCCCCCGTATCCCTCGCCGGGAGAGTGCTGGGCCAGGAGAGCACATGCTCAGCAAATCCGTGCTGCTGAGGTCAACACCCCATCCTCACCCAGGGTCAAACACCAGTGTGCACGAGCCTGCAGGTCTAGAGGGGCCTTGGAGTAAGAAACCCCAGACCAAGAGCAGTGCTTTGCTTCAGCCCAAGCCAGAAGTGCTCCTATCATTAGCATCACAAAACCCTCGCTGCCATTCAGTCTACGCTGACTCATAGCAACCCTATAGGACAGGGTAGACCTGCCCCGCTCTGAGTTTTTAAAACTATAACTCTCTATAGAAGTAGAACTGCACTCCACCCGCGCCCCCTGAGTTTCCAAAACTATGACTCTTTATAGAAGTTGTAACTTTTTACAGGAGTTGAAAGCCCTGTCTTTCTCCTGCAGAGCCACTGCTGGTGGTTTTGAACTGCTGATCTTGCACATCACAGCCCAGGTAGTAACCACTACGCTATCAGGACTCATCATCATTAGCATTCCCTAGAATCACTCAAATCCAAATCCTGTGAGAAAACGATGCAGTTACCAATTCTGTTCTCCACTCCAAAGAATGGCCCCAGCCAAGTGAATCCAGGGACCATGAGAAAAAGAATTTTTCTGATCCTAGAATTGTTTAGGGTTCAGGAAATGTATGGGCACAACAACAACCCCCACAAGAAAACCCTAAGCACTGAACCAGGGGGAGCAGGTACGTGGTGGCAGAGAAGTTGGCCTTTTCCAAGCGTGTCAGACCCAAGAGCCTCTCTGCTCTCAGTGGCATGCCCGCCAAAGCTGAGAGCTGCTCAACCCAGAGATGGTTCCCTGCCCTGGGGCCCAAGCAGCAGCACCTGGATGAAATGCCGGGCTGAGTCCACCTGACAGCATCTCTTCAGGAAGGAAAGGGCTGTGGACAATCAGTGGCAGCAGAGCATGGGAGGGCTGGGGTGGAAGGGAGGAGAGGAGTGGACTCCGTGCCCCAGGTAGCCTGGGTAAGAGCCCTGGCTTTCAGATTCTTTCTGCATCACCTCTTAAAAAAAGGCAAATCATGGTCGATGGAAGGTAGCAAAGCTCACTCCCCGCCTGATAGAAACAGGGGAATGGAGAATATACAGAGATGGAAAAAAATCCTGAGTGGTTTCCACCAGCACCCTAGGACAGACACCAAGACACTGGTCACCAGGTTAGAGGTTGCAACAGGGTTGTGGGCGGCTCCAAAAATCCCATGCTTCCCTCTGCACTTCCTTCGTTCCCTTTGTACGCCTACTGAGGGTCACTACTTCCCCTAGCAAATGGGCAGATCTGCCCTCTCCTTTCTTCCACTCTGTCCCTGAAGATACGAGTAAGAGGACATCCACTTACTGGGCCTTTCAAAGATGCAGTCCATTCTGACAGTAAACATCTGTCAGGCATCTGGGTGCAGCTAGGACCTGGCTGCTGCTCTTGCTTCCCGTTGCTTCTGCCTGAAGGAAAAGTCACTCGGATCCAGGGCGGTGGATGGGGCCCTAGGGGTTACACAGCCAGGTTCAATCATGAGCGATTGCTCAAGGTCAAACATGAGCTTCAGAGGCACAGGAGGGCTTGGAGGTGGGACTGTGGCACCCAGCTTTAGCCAGATGCCCTGCTTTCAGGCAGACTGTAAATTATAAGTAAATAAAGTGTCTCTGCCCCCCTGCCTTTGCTCTTGTGCATAATGAAAAACAGCAGAGCTCAGCCGGCACAAGCCTTCTGTTTCCTCCTCAGATTGGCTGCTCACAGCTTCTGGCTGGAGATGAGTTCTGTGCATACACACACATACACACACACACACACACACACACACACACATGCTTTTACTGTCGTGTGAGCACCTCATGTAAGTCCACATTACCCAGGTAGCCACTCAGCACCTGCTTCCCCAGCCTCGAGGAGACCCCGACACACCCACAGGACTTGCCAGCAAGACCCCCTACTTGCTGTCTCAAGGTGCCACAGTCCACTCTGGTGGGAAGGTGAGACCCCACCACAGACAGCTTGTCCCAGGGAGAAACTGCCGCCGCTGGAGCTGTGACTGTCCACTGGGCCCATCTGGTCAGGGAACAAAGGGATTCATTGGGAGTTTAGGGATTACTCTGGGGCAAGGCTACCAGCCTCTACTGAGAACGAGTAAATCCTTGCATTCGCCTGGTAGCCGCTCTGGTCCACCACGAAGGGACTGGCACCACTCCCTGCCACTCGACAGGGCTGGGAACCTGAGGCCCTTGTGCCTTCTGTGATTTCCCCACCAGGGCCGTGCCGGGTGCACAAGCTTGGTATCAGCGGGATTCTGACTTGCTTCTCAGAGCCCTGGGAGCCATATTAACCAGGGCTTAAAACCTACCGACAAAGCAGCGTTCAGAGCATCAACCTTGGGAGACCACAGAGGAGCTGTGGGGTGTGGTGGGCAGGGGGGAACTCGTTTATCCCTCCTAGTGCCACGTATGCGGCGGGCTGCTGGAAGGCAGGTCTCACCCTCCTCCAGACAGCTGGCGGCCGGGGCTCACACCTCACAAACAGCTGGAGGGAAACAGAAGGCACTGCCTGCAGAGAGGCTGCAAGGGAACCCACCCAAAACACGCTGCGGTGAGATCCTTCGCTTTCCAGGTTGTCCATCGCAAGACAGGCATGTGCGCTGACTCCAGAGCCCAAAACGGCAAGGGGCAGAGGAAGAAACTCCGAGAGAGAGACAGTATCTCTCCATCGATTCTATCCCTCTCATCTGTAGACAAACTGACACTTGCCCCAACCAAGTCACATTGTATTTCCTGGGGTGAAAATAAAAGGGATGCTGACCAGATGTCTTCCCCCAACACCGTTAAAATGCCGTTCGAAGAGAACGATGAGAATTATTTAAGGCTCATGGGAAAGAGAGGTTTGCCTGCCTCCCAGCCCTGCCCCCAACATTTCCTGCCCTAGATCCAAAACACTGATACAACCTCCCGGGAACAGAGAGGCTTGGGGGTATGGGAACCCCAACTGCCATACGAGCACCCCTTGCTCTAACAGAAGTATCGCAGAAAAATGAGACAACAACAACTCTGTATAGACAACGTATATCATGAAAATAGAGCCAATGTATCTCCAGCTGAAATGCAGCACAAAAATCCACTCGTCGGTCATAAAAATAAGATCTCCTCCCCTCTACACAAATATAATCATGTGTAAAGCAAACTGGGAACACATCGATGGGGAGGGGGAGGGGGACAAGATCCCTTGGGATCTGGGTTATTTAAAGGCATTTTTTGTTTGGGTTTCCCTGCAGCTGGGTATAGGAAAGTGGTTACAAAGACATCCATCTCCCAGCGCTCACCATTTCAACAGCTCCTGCGTCATGGAATGTGATACTTTTTAAAAATAGGCGACCCTTGGTGTCATGGAAAGTAGAGGGGAAATGGGGGGGAGGGTAGATGACAGGAGGGAGGGAAGGATGGGAAAGAGGGTACAAACTCTCGGAGCGCGGGGTAGGCTTGGAATACTCCACGGTATAAAGCAGCTAGCCGGGGTTCGGAAGAGCTCCCCTGTCCCTGGCCCCACTCGCTGGCCTGTCCACCCAGAACTCTGTTCACAGGTCAGTCTCCCGGCTGGTGTCCAGGCAGAGAGCATACAGTGACCTCCTTAAGTCCACGTTGCTCTTCGCCTTGAGGTTGTACTTCTCCAGGGGGCAGCTGCCCCTTCGGGCTCCCTCTGCATTCTCCAGGGACGCTCCTGCTTTGCCAGAGGAAGCCTTGCTCCAGCTGGCCTTGCGAGGACCTCCACCATCAAGCCCAGCCCCCTGGCTCTGGCCGCCCTGCTCCTCCTTAAGGGCCACCTGCTCCTCGTGCTCCGTCTCGCGGTGGTAGAAGTAGTTGAAGTTGGACACAATGACAGGCACGGGCAGGGCGATGGTAAGGACCCCAGCAATGGCACAGAGGGAGCCTACGATCTTGCCCCCCACGGTGACAGGTCTCATGTCCCCGTAGCCCACGGTAGTCATGGTGACCACTGCCCACCAGAAGGCGTCCGGGATGCTGGAGAAGTGCGTGTCTTGGTTGTCCGTCTCCGCGAAGTAGACCGCGCTGGAGAAGAGGATGACTCCGATGAAGAGGAAGAAGATGAGCAGCCCCAGCTCCCGCATGGAGGCCTGCAAGGTCTTGCCCAGGATCTGCAGCCCCTTGGAGTGGCGGGAGAGCTTGAAGATGCGGAAGACCCGAACCAGGCGGATGACTCGGAGGATGGCCAGGGACATGGCCTGCTGCCCATTCTGGCCACCGCCTCCTCCGCCCCCTGGCTGTTGCTCGGCCAGCTCGGTGCCCAGGGTGATGAAGTAGGGGAAGATGGCCACCACGTCGATGATGTTCATGATGTTCCGGGAGAACTCTGCCTTGCTGGGGCAGGCGAAGAAGCGCACCAGCAGCTCAAAGGTGAACCAGATGACACACGTGGTCTCTACAATGAAGAAGGGGTCCGCCAGGGTCCAAGGCAGAAGAGGTGCCACCGTGGGGCCAGCGGGAGGCGCCATGGCCCCACTGCCATTGGCCCCTGGAGCCGGAGCTGGAGATTGGTGGGGCACCTGGGCGTGGCGGAGCAGCTCTCGTTCGTCCTTGAATTCGGGCAAGGTCTCCAAGCAGAAGGTGATGATGGAAATGAGAATGACCAGTACGGAGACGATGGCGATGGCACGCGCCGAGCCCGAGCTCTCGGGGTACTCGAAGATCAGCCACACCTGGCGCTGGAATTCATTGCGGGGTAGGGGCTTCTCCTCTTCCTTCAGGAAGCCCTCGTCTTCCCGGAAGCGCTCCATGGCTTCGTCGCCCAGCTGGTAGAAGCGGATCTCATCGGCGAACACGTCCAGCGAGACGTTGACCGGCCTCCGCAGCCGGCCCCCCGACTGGTAGTAGTAGAGGATGCCGTCGAAGCTGGGCCGGTTGCGGTCAAAGAAGTACTCGTTCCTGAGCGGGTCGAAGTAGCGCAGGCGCTTGGCAGGGTCCCCCAGCAGGGTGTTGGGGAACTGCGCCAGGGTGCCCAGCTGCGTCTCGAAGCGCAGCCCGGAGATGTTGATGAGGACGCGCTGGTGGTGAAGGGACCCCGAGCCCAGCGCCTGGTCCCCTGCCATGTCCAGGGCGGAGTCGCCTTCCCAGTCCTCGCCCTCCGGAGGCGGAGATCTTGGCTGCAGCCGCTCTGGGGGCAGCGGTGGCAAAGGCCGCCCTCCTGCCTCCGCACCCCTCTGCGCGCGGCCGCGCCCCCTTGGAGCGGGCTCTCGGTCCCCGTCGCTGAACCCAGCCGTCGGGGGGCACTGCAGCTCTCTCCCCGAGGCCTGGCCGCAGCCGGCCCGGGCCTCACCTCCTCCCCGGATGGTCATGGCACCGCCGTTCTCCATGGGCAGGGAGCATGCTGCGCCTCTACAGACCGGCTTCCGAGGCCCCCAGCTCTCGCTCCTGCCCGCAGGGCGCCCGGTCTGCTGCCCAGCGGTCAGTGGGCCGGCTCCCCTTTGGGGCGGGGTGGGGTGGCTGGCGCGGTCCCCTCGCTTGGCCCTGACGTCAAGAAGCCACTGCCCTGCTCTCTGCTTCTCTCCTGGTTCTGGCAACCCGGTTACCAAGCAGCCGAAAAGCCTCGCTCCAGCAGATGCCACCTCCAGCCGCCCCTCTCTGGCTGCGCGACTCAGGGCCTCCACCCTCCGCCCGCCCCTCCAGTCGGCCCTCCTCCTGCCGCCTCCCCTCCCCGGTCTCGTGGCAGCGGGTGTCTCCCCGGAGGGCGCAGCTGGGGCCCCGGGCTCAGGAAGGGAAGGGGGCGGGTAGGGCGCAGTGCAGGGAGGCAGGCAGGCAGGGCGGGAGTGGGGAGGATGGAGGAACAGGTTGTACCGCGAGCGCAGAAACTCCCAGGGCAACCAGATGAGAATAGCTCGGACCGCAGTTCACCTGGGAATCCGCGGGAGCCTGAGCGCACTCCAGGGGGAAATGGATTGCCCGTGGCTGAAAGGATCAGCCTTTGAGCCGGGTCTGCGCAAGAAGGATCACAGGCTTATGTGTTTCCTATGAAGAAAAGAAAACAAAATGGTTATCTCGCCTTTGGGAAGAACTGGGGGCAAGGGAGGGGGCGTATGGAGAGCTGCGGACTTTGAATAATTAAGGAAACAATAACAACTCTCTGAAGACTAATGGAGAAGCTACACACACACACACACACACACACACACACACACACACACGGACTGAAACCTTGCCCAGCCCTGCGGGTAGCCCTGGATTCCCAGTGCAGACGGCGGCGCTGGCCCAGGACAGACCCAGGCAGGCAATCCCAGGCAAGGTGCCCAATGCGAAGACGGACTGCCTCCTTGGCACAGAACCTCACAGTTACACATGCAGCCCCTCAGCTGGGCTCTCACCACCACATTTTATTTCCAAGAAACCAACTGGGAAAGGGAGGTGGCAAGAAGCTACCTTAGCAAAGAGGGTTCCTGACTGGCAAAGCGTGGCCGGAGCAACTGGCGGGAGTTTGCCAATAGAGCAGGGAGGGGGTAGGATTCCAGCTGAAGAAGCCTCGAGGACCGAGCATTAACACGCAGCATCTCCGTGTGCTTCTTTATGTACCAGGGCCCTTAATTCTTCACAGCCACCTGTCCTGTTTGGATCTTGCTGTTGTGTGTGGTCTTAGAGACCATACATGACAGAGTAGCACTGCCCCACAGGGTTTCCCAGGCTGTAATCTTCGTGAGGGAAGCTCTGGTGTCAGTGATTTCACACATTATGCTGCCAACTGAAAGTGGGCAGTTCAAAACCACTAGCTGCTCTGTGGGAGCAAGATGAGGCTTTCTTCCATAAACAGTTCCAGGCCAGGAAACCCACAAGGGTAGTTCTAACCTGTCCTACAGGGTTGGTAGTTCTTTTGTCCTGAAGAGTTGCTGGTAGTTTTGAACTGCAGACTTTTCGTTAACAACCCGGTGCTTTAACCACTGCACCACCAGAGCTCCATAACCTTTTGGGTCAGTAGCAGAGTTTTCCTCCTACTCTTCCTTAGACCTCCTGCTGTGGGCCCTCTCAAAGTGATCAGCACTGGTAACCAGGCACCTTCTGGTTCTTAAGCTCTCAGGATCACGAAGACCGGGCGTCATCTGGTTCCTTAGGCCTTGGGACCAATTGTTTCCTTGCATCTTTGGTTTTTCTTGGCTTTTCTTTGCTCCAGATGGGGAGAGACTGGTTATCATGCCTCATGTGGCCAAGCCCTGCTTTTAAGACTCCAGTTGCTTGTCATCAAAATAGGATGTAGGGCATGGTCCTTGTGGACCATTTTAGACCAACAGGTTTTGCTGTCCCCTGAGACTCTGATCCTGAGCCCCAGGGCCCAGCGACTTGTTCTTTCATCGTGTTTGGTTATGGCGAAGAAGTTTTCATAAACGGGCCTTCTGTGTGTTCCATTGCACTTAGGGATAGCAGAGCTGCTCCAGAGCGCTTCCAAGGTGGTCAATCTTGACAGAGGCAGACGGCCTCATCTTTCTGCCATCGGGCAGCTGGTGGATTCCACCCACTGACCTTTTGGTTAGAAGCCCAGCACTTAACCCGTGGTATCACCAGGGTGCCTTTTATATATATATATATATATCATACACACAAATACATTTGAAGTTACATTCGCTGTCAAACCTATGTAGAGAGAGAGGATTGTTGTTCCTGTTCGCGTAATGCCTGCTCCAGCACCACCAGGTGGACCACAGGTGGTGATCAACACTCACCCAGCCCCAAGCACAGGCCCTGTTAGAGGTCCTTTCTGCCCAGTAGAGGACTGCACCAATAGGCTGGTCTCAATGTGTTGGCCAAGACTTTGTACTGTAGAAGCTGCTTCTGAGACTCTCCCTACCTAATCCCACTTCCTCTCTGGATCCCTTTCACCAGCACGGACCAGCATCATGGTCCCAAGGCTCGTCCCACTCCATCTGGCCACCGTTCCCTTTCACCTTTCCTAGGCATTGCCTCCCATCAGCCTTTCACGCTCCTATGTCTGTCTTGGTGTCTTCCCTGGAGGATACAGTGGACACATCACGTAAGGAAAACCTGCCTTCTTTTGTACCCATCTAGCGTTAGGAAAAGGGACCTGGTTAGTGCAGTGAGTGAAGCACTCAAAATCAATGGTTCAAGCCCACCAACCGCTCCTCAGGAGAAACATGAGGCTTTCTGCTCCCATAGATTTATGCTCTTAGAAACCTAGGGCAGCGGTTCTCAACCTGTGCCAACATTATTCGCAAGCTACCTCTTGTGGGCCACCGATACCTCCTGTTTATATAGTTCTAGCCAGTCGTCTGGTAAAAAAATCACAAAGACTGGCTCAAAGAATTCTAGAAAGTCATTCAGTATCTACCAGATAGCACATGTACCATTTAGAATGCACAAAGAAAAACTTCCTGAAGATAATTCAAAAATGCTAGTAGCAGTGTTTCCTAATATAGTGGGTTAGTCTAACATTCTTAAGCACATAGTATGTGCACGTGAGCAATACGTCTTAAAATCACATGTTTAAGGACCTTGGAGTTGCTTTTAAATGATAACCACCATATGGGCAATAGAAAGAAACACCGCCCAGTCTTCCCAAATCCTCACAGTTCTATATATGAACCTATTGCTGCAGCCACTGGGTGGTGTCCCTGCTGTATAGCATACATGCTGCCCTCCACACTCTGGTATTCCCTGACAGCATGTCCTAAGTGCATGAGATGAAGCCTGCATCTCTTGCCTCTGTTGAGGATCCTGGCTGTACTTCTAAGACATAGTCTGGCAAACCTGGGAACAGACCTTCTGTCCCATAGTCCTTTCAATAAAATAGGCCACAAAAAACCCCAAAATACATAGCAAGAGTTATATAATCGGTTCTCTGAAGAGAACCTTTTCATAGGATTTCCCCTTATCACCACCAGGTTAAGCATGAAAGCTAAAGTGGTCAATGCAAATCTAAATAGGAATCATGTAAGAATTAGTATGTCACACTTCATTGAGCCCTTGGGAAACAAGTGAAGCACATACAGCGATAAATGGAAAAACGACTACAATATCTATATTTCCATGTGGTTGATGGAAATTTCAATCAATGCCATCTTGTCCATACGCCACATCAATATATTAATGAGCAACTTCCAGAAAACCAAGCTGGGCTCAGAACAAATACAGTGACGTTCGCTAGATTTTGGTCCAGTGTCCTTGTTGACTTTCTCTGTAGGTGTTCTAATGCCGAAAGAGTTGTATTATTGAGAACTTCAATTTTTTTAATAAAGTATTTTATAGGAAAAAAAATAAATTAAAAAAAAAAAGACATCTAAGACTATACCTTTGTGGGTTGAACGACCCTTTCACAGGGGTCGCCCAATTCATAACAGTAGCAAAATGACAGTTATGAAGTATCAACAAAAATAATTTTATGGTTGGGAGGGTCAGCACAACATGAGGAACTGTATTAAAGGCCACAGCATGAGGAAGGTTGAGGACCACTGCCCTGGGGACTAGTTCTATTCTATAGGGTCACTATGAGGCAGGACCAATCCAACAGCAGGGGGCTTTATGTAGCATGAGAAGAAGAAACCTTGAAATGCAATGTCTAAGTGCCCAGCTGCTGACTGCAGATGGACTCATGAGCATCCCCAAGGGAGCAAGAGCCTGGGACAGTTCTCCTCTGACATCCAGGAGGGCTGTGAGTAGGAACTAAATCAACAGCACACAGCCAGGCAGAAGCATTAGCAGAGGAAGCTCTGTGGTTGACCATTGACCACACTGACCATACTGACTCAAGTGTGGAGGAGGATACTTGGGCTTCATCAGAGTTTCCTTATTATGAACTTGTTCCTAAGCCTTTCTTCTTTGCTATCTCTGAGTGGGTTCAAACTGCCAACCTTTCCATTCCTGCATCTGAACACTTACGGGTTTTTTTGTATCACCTGGGGCTCCCAAGCTCTTTTCTGTTCTTCCAACTTGCAGGGAGTTGATTCTGACTCCGAGTGACCCCTGGTGTGCACAGTAGATCTGCTTCTGAGGATGTTCAAAGTTATGGCCTTTGGGAAGCAGATTGACATGTGCACCGTCCCTTGAGGGTCTGATGAAAGTGCAGCACCTGATCCCGTTGGCCTGGGCCAGGGCTCAGACTGCAATTCACGTGAGCTCCCAGGTATGGCTCCTGGCCACGAACTACAGTCTCATCTCGGACAAATGCCAAGCAGTGGCTGTGGAGGTCTTATTTGCCACACTGGAATTGTCCCCAGAGTGAAATCCAGAGGGAACCAGGAGGTCTGCTCTCAGTTTTCAAAGCTGGTGCTGGCAGATCCACAGGAGGACTTGCAGGTGCGACGAACCAAGGAGAAGGGGGTCATAAGGGAAAGTAAGGCAGTGAAGCGGAGAGGTGAGCTGGAAGAGAAAGGAAAGAGAGAAGAGGCGGGGGAATAAGACCCCAATGCCACTTGTGCTAATTCATTTAATGGCTATTTCTTTAATTCCTACTACATGCAAAGCACTGCCCCAGGATCTGAGGATGTATTCAAATCCAAGAAAGATCCATTTTCTAACTTCTCGGGGTTATATACTGGGAAAGCAAAAGACAGTGAACACCTAATTTTACAACTCATTGTTGAAGTGCAAGTTTAAGAGGTACCATGTAGACTATAGGATTTTGAGAGAGTAATGAGGAGTCTGACCTCATCTAGGATCCTAAGCAAATGATTCCAGTTGGAACTTACTGTCACTTGCTCACCGCCATGAAGTCTACATGTCTTATAGCAACCCTTTAGACTGCCCCCTTTGAGTTTCGACACTCAACTATTTATGGGAACAGAAAGCCCCATCTTTCTTCCAAGGAGCAGCTGCTGGTTTCAAACTACTGACCTTGTAGTTTGCAGCCCAGCACATAACCACGATGTCACCAGGACTCCATTCCAGGTAGAAGGAAGAGTATAGTCCAAAGCCTGGACTTGGGAGGAGCAGATCTTCTTTTGGAAGATCATGAAATAAGTTAATGTCATTGACACACAGAGGGCTGGGGAGCCAAAGCCCAGCGAGCCTTGGCTCCAGAGGTGGACGGACAGAAGGCAGGGTACAAAGGGCTTGCTAGGCCACACTTCATGGTCTCCCTAGAAAGCAAAACATTTCTAGTTTCATACCTGTTGTGTGTCTGCACTAAAGTAACTGTGCTAATAAGCTTTCATAACAGCTCTCTATTAAATGATTTCCATCCCATGTCTCCTTCACTCCCACGAGAACATATCTATACCTATCTAGCTATAAAGATAGAGGATGGGTAGATAGATAGATAGCTCTACATTGAGCTGGCATAACAGCAGAATTTTATTTTAGCCTTCCACTGACCCTTTACATTATCTCCACTGGAAGGAGCTTTCTCCCTGACTTAGGTAGAAGCCAAGCAGGTCTCCAGGTTCTATTGTTTGACTTCCAGATAACTGCAGAGCTCCCAGGACGTTGGGGCTCAAACCACCACTCACTTTAGGAAGGACATCGCTCTACCCCAAATCCTCAACTGTTTGCCACTCACAAAGTTGATCCAGTTTGTACAGTAAGAGCCTACACAAAGGGACAAAACCCCTGCCATTGAGTCGGTTCCGGCTCACGGTGATCCTATACAGGATTCCTGAGACTTTAAATCTTTGCTAGAATAGGCACCCTCCTTATTCTCCCTTGGAGTGACTGGTGAGTTTGAACCAGCAACCGTGTAGTTACCGACCCAATGTTTACCTGGCAGCTAGTGACAAAGCAAATCTAATTCACCAGCTGCCCTATTTGGCCATCTAAATGAGTTTCAAATATTTTAGGCCTAGACCCCAGCTCCACAAGCCCTTTGAGGATTCAGCTGATATTGAACCCTTTCAGTACCTATCCCTAGTTTTCCTCTTCTTCCCAGCTCTACAACTGGTTGGCTGGCTATTCATTCAATTCCATTCAACACATATTTATTGAAATGCATAGAATGAACATGTCCGTGTCTAGTGTTATAGGGAAAAAGCATTGTGGCATGGACCCTAATTTCAAGACAATTCTATATCAGTCTCCAGCACCCTGGGTGATATGAGCGGTTAAGGGTTTGACTACGAGTTGGGGAAGGAGTGGCTCAAACGCAACTAGAGGCTCTTCAGAAGATAGGTTGGGGGTGACCTGCTTCTGAAAGATTGCCGCTTTGAATACCCAACAGGGTAAATAAATCTGCTCTCGACACACACATGATTCAATGAGTTGGAATCCACTGAGCAGAACTTACAAGAGTAACATTTTACCTCTACCTCTTGATTATATGTCCCTCTTGGGGGGAAGTCAGCACCTTTTGACTGGGGAAGACTTATTTTTGTCCAACCTTCTTTCTGAATTCCTTGGTATAGGATCTTTCAAAGGAAACATGGAGGTGGCACCGGGAGTAGCAAAGGTGGCTTCAGGACCTCTCCCACTCTCATGGAGTCAACTGGACCGTAGATAGGGTATCTGAGACTGTGGCTCTTGATAGGGACAGGCAGCCTCAGCTTTCTCTCATGAAGCGGTTGGTGGCTTTTAACCTAAGGTGACCAGAGGTCCCGCTTTTGGCGGGACAGTCCCGACATTTAACAATTTTTCCCGTGTCCCGCAGCATTTTTAAAAAGTCCCAGTTTTTTGAAAGAATGCACGACAAGCTAGGGTATACGGTTTCCGGCTGCCATGTGGCTATTTTGCCAGGGTATGAGTTTTATCAATGGTGTCCCGCTTTACCAAGGTCAAAATCTGGTCACCTTACTTAACCGCCAACCTTGCATTTAGCAACCCAACACATAACCCATGGTGCCACTTCGCTTCCATTCTAAGGCCTCTAAGGTGAACTTGAAAACAAATCACAAAACAGAGCAAAAAATCTTGTTGCCACAGAGCCATTGGTGACCTTCTGAGTCACGGAGCAGAGCCGAGTTCCGTAGGGTTTTCTCCACTGAGGTCTTTAGAGAAGCAGTTCCAGGTCTTGCTTCTCTGGCCAACTGCTCATACCACCCAGGGAACTTCAGGCTGCATTGCAGAGATCCAAACAGAAGACCCACATAGATTTCTTTTTAAAGAGGAAGAGAGAAAGAAACCTAACGGGTTTTGTATAGTCAACTGGATCTTACCACTGAGTATTATAAAGTATATCCTTCCACGGTACATTAATATTAAATAATATGAAGATATGTTAGTCTGGGTACTTTAGAGAAACAAATCCACAGAAACTCATGTGGAAGAGAGAGTTTTATATAAAGGTTAAGTGCGCATCAAGAAAACATCCCAACCCAGTGCTGCCCAAGCCCATGAGTCCAACATGAACTCACTAACCCATATGTCCAACACCAGTCCACAAAGTCCTCCTCCATCTCACAAAACAGATGCAATGATGCCAACTGCAGGAGGAAAGCCGAGTCAGTGAATGTGTAAACATCTCAGTGCTGGCAGGGGTCTCCACACAGGTCCTTCAGCACCCAGGGCTGCATCAGGGTAGGTCCATGCGGCTTCTCCTCAGGAATGTCTTGCAGGAAGTCAGCCTTGTCAGCTAAATCAGGGAACTGGCTAAGGCAGCTGGACCCTGGTCCAACCATCAGAAAGCAAGAAACCCAAGAACTCAAAAGGCGAGGCTCACTGAGCATTTATCCCTCTGTCCTTCAATTAACCCCACATGTGTTTACCGGCCAGGTTGGCACAATAAACTAACTAACTCACAAGGTAAGTAAAAAAATACTGCTACCAGGGTCCCAGTTGATATAGACAGAAGTTTACTCCAAACAAAATGTATTTCCACGTGTCTCTTCAGTCAGAACCTGGCTCTAGACAAGTTCTCTCTCAGTAGTACACTGGTCTTAGTCCCATTAGGATGCCTTCAATTAAAAAAAAGGGGGAGTCTAATCAAAACATTGGCTTCTGAAGGTACCTGTTAGGCCAGGTAATTCCAAACAGAGATCTGCTCACAAGGTTACAGTGAAGGTTTTTCAGATTCCTAATCTCCAACCCTTGCCTGTCAGTTTGTCACACTGTGGTGGCTTGTTTGTTGCTGTGATGCTGTGAACTATGTCACCGGTATTTCAAATGCCAGCAGGGTCACCTTAAGTCAACAGGTTTTAGCAGATCTTCCAGACTAAGAACAGACTAAGAAGAAGGAAAAGGCTGTCACTGAATACCTTCAGAACAGGATAGCATCAGAATATTGTCAGAGACTAGAGCTCTTCACGACTGGCGCTCCAGGAGCAGCAGACATCAGTGCAGACGTGGCCAACTCCAAGAACCACACCACACACAACCAATCCTGGAAACAGCACAGGAATGGTATCAAGAAACCCTAATCACGATGATACAACTCTCTTAAGTGGGTGGACACCTAGTTCCTGAGGAACATTCACTTTGCCAAGAAGCACAACAAGAAAGGCCTGCATTTGCTCATGCCTAGACTATCAAGGTTCTTGTGAAACCCAAGGAGGTCAAGGCCAAGATCCCAATGGGTGTCAACTGCAAGCTCAGCCAACTGGCCTACATCGCCCACCCAGGCTTGTCAAGTGGCCTCGGACCCCTATTGCCAAGGGTCTGAGGCTCTGCTGGCCCAAGGCCAAGGCCAAGGCACAAAGCAAAGTTGATGCTCCAGCCAAGGCCCCCACTCCAGCTCAAGCTCCCCAAAGTGCCCAGGCTCCTACGAAGTGGAGTTCACCCTCTGAGGACAAGTAAAATGCTGCCCGTGATAGGATTACATCTGTCCACATTCAAGGAGATCCACAATTACACACCGACCACTGAAGTTAGTGATGCAGAGATGGCAGGATTCTACCAATGGCTTCAGTCTAAAATTGATCAAACATGCACTCACACTACATTGATAATTATTGGTAATTGGAATGCAAAAATTGGAAGCAAAGGGGCAAGAACAGTAGCTAAAAATATGGCCTTGATGATAGAAACAAAGCCGGAGATTCCATGATAGAATTCTGTAGGAACAATGGCTTCTTCCTCACAAATACCTTTTCCCACAACATGAAAAGGGACTATACACGTTGACTTCTCCAGATGGAATACACAGAAGTAAAATTGATGCTGGAGAAGCTCATGGTCAGCAGCTAACACCTGGTTAGGGGCCCACGGTGGAACAAGCCATCCGTTGCTCATGTGTAAGTTCAGGCTGCAGCGGAAGAAAATGAAAACAAGTCCGCAAAAGCCAAAATATGACCTTGTGTAGATCACACCTGAAGTTTGAGAACACGCCAAGAACAAATTCAAAGCACTGGACATCAGGGGCAAAAAACTGATGATCTGTGGGAGGACATGAAGGATGTAATGCATGAAGAAAGCCAAGGACCATTAAAACGACACAAAAGAAAAGATCCAAGTGAATGTCAGAAGAGAGGCTGAAGCGTGTTCTTAACCGTAGAGTAGCTGCAGCAGATGGAAGAACTGATGATATTAGCGACCTGAACAGAACATTTCAAAGGGCAGCTCCAGAAGATAAAGTAAAATAGTGAAATGTGCAAAGACCTAGAGTTTGAAAACCAAAAAGGAAGACCAAGTCCAGCATATCTTAAACTGAAAAAAACTCAAGAAAATAATTCAAGCCCCTAGTTGCAAAGTGAAAGAGTCTGTGGGCAAAAACAAGACTTCAGGAATGGTTGGAATACCAACCGAAATGCTTCAACAAGCTGATAAGCCCTGGAAGCATTCACTCATCTATGCCAGGAAATTTGGAAGACAGCTACTTGGCCAACTGACTGGAAGAGATCTATATTTGTACCCATTTCAAAGAAAGGTGACCCAACAAAATGCACAAATTATAAAACAGTAACATTGATAACACATTCAAGTAAAATTTTGCTGAATGTCTGCCAATAACAGTTGCAGCAGTACATTGATAGAAAACTGAAAGAGGTCCCGGCCAGAGTCAGAAAGTGTCTTGGAACAAGGGAATCATGGTGTGAAAGAAATATTGGCTAAACTCAGAGAGTACCAGAAAAATGTTTACTTGTGTTTTATTGGCTACACAAAGACATTCAACTGTGTGGATCATAAAACTGTGAGCAGAATAGTAATTCCAGAACACTTCGTTGTACTCATGTGGAACTTGTACATGGACCTAGAGGGAGTTGTGCAATAGAACAAGGGCATATTACATGTCTTAAACTCAGGAAAAGTGTGGATCAGGGTTGTATACTTTCACCATCCTCATCCAATCTGTATACTGAGCAAATGATCAGAAAAGCTGGATTGAATGAAGAAAAATGTGTCATCAGGATTGGGGGAAGCCTTATTAACACCCTGTGACAGGCAGATGAGACAGCGTTGCTTGCTAAATGAAGGACTAGAAGCACTTGCTGATGAAGATCAAGAATTGCAGGCCTCAGTATGGATTGCAAATCATTGTAAAGATAACAAAAGTCCTCACAATAGGACCAATATAATAAAACCGAGAAAAGGTTGAAGTGGTCAAGGATTTTGTCTTGTTTGGATCTACAATCAGTTCTCATGGAAACAGTAGTCAAGAGA